AAACTTGCATGTCTGTTAATCTGAAAAAAAATGCTTATTTTATCAGACGTTACTTTCTTGTATGAGTAATTATCCTACCTTTAAAAAGTTCACTTTGTTTTTTAAAAAATTAATTTATATATGTGCTTAACCTCAGGCTAATCAAAATTCATTTTGAATAATAGCATTTGGAGGTAAAAATTATTGTATACATACATGGATGACACACAGAAGATGATACAAACAGAAGCACACCCATCACTTAAGACCTAACAGTTGGAGAATGTTCACTTAAGACCTAACAGTTGGAGAATGTTCATTAGCCCAGTTTTCAAATTATTTCCATTTTATTGATAGTTAGAATAAATATTCCTATGATATTAAGTGGCCCCTTGTACCCAAGAGGGTTTTTCCCAAAGAAGGTCCAAAGAGGGGACCTCCCTGGTGGTGCAAGGGGTTAAGGCATAGCATAGCACCATGAAGCTATCTGCAGTCACTGCAGCATGAATTTGGTCCCCAGCCAGGGAGCTGACCCACATGGCGCAGCAGACCTCTCCTGACCCACCCGCTGCTCCCCTCAGCAGTGTACTCTGTCAATCTGCCTGTTCTGCTCCCCATTCAGTCTCTGGTGAAACCTGTCACCGCCCCTGTACCTCTGGCCTGTACCCCACTTCTGTATGCATAAATAAATAACTCTTTAAAAATAATAACAAATAAAGGTGGTTTAAAAAAATAGGGCAAAAGTTGTGCTCAATCTCTTTTGTACAAGTCTAAGGGAAAAAAATATGTTCTAAGTTTTTGAAAATGGCTACTCATGTCCTTGCCAAATTGAAATTCTATAAATAAACCACATGGCTTCTCTCTTCTGTATCACTGTCACTTTGAAAGATAATCTGACTTGTTTTGAAGAGTCTTATTACTTTGCACTGTCGTTCAGGTGTTGTATGGAACTGATCGTTGAGGTCAAACAAAGCAAACCTGAGGGAAACATCAGACAGCCCTTTCTTTTAGATACTTTTATCTTTAATATCAATAATTCAGCGATGGGAGACAATGTCAAGCTAAAGATAAGACAATGTTGCCTTACTGAAGCTTTCTCTATGTGGCCAGTGAGACCAGGTAGGCGATTTTCAGCCAGATCTTGCCATTTTTCTTGATAGCCGCAGCTTACTGGACTATAGTTCTTAAACATAAGATGCTCAACTCTTCAGACATAAAGGATCCCATTTCTTTTAGCTGGACTATTGATTTTCCCTGGAGCCAGGCTAGTTTCAAAACACTACCTAAACTCTTTCATTTCCAAGATTTTCTTTTTTTTTTTTAAAGATTTATTTATTTATTTATACAGAACTGGGGTATAGGCCAGAGATGCGGAGGGTGAGAGGATTCACCAGAGATAGAGTGGGGTACAGAACAGGCAGATTGACAAAGCACACTGCTGAGGGGAGCAGTGGGCGGGCCAGGAGAGGTCTGCTGTGCCATGTGGATCTCCTGGGGGCAGGCAGGGATCGAACTCATGCGGAAATGGCTTAAGCTTCTTAGTGCTGTGCTTTAACCCGCTGCGCCACCAGGGAGGGCCACCAAGATTTTCTTTAAGCAATGACCTCTAACTCACATGAACCCCAACAGTACTAACGAATGTAACTGTGGGCCAGTTCCATCGAGGGAATGGGACAGGATTGAACCTGCAGACCTTAAAGAATGGGGCCTCAAAGAACGATACCAAACAAAGAACTGCAGCTGCCTCTCACAGTTCTCTGGCAAGACCTGGGGAAAGGGGGTGCGGAATTTAACATGGACTGGGGAACTTAGGAAATGACCCACTAAGTCCTGGACAGAAAAGATGATTAGTTTGGGAGCTTGAAACAACTGAACTTCAACAACAACAATCCTTTCCTGGCCTTAGGAATATGTGAGAAGGAGCGCAAACGCCATGGGGCCGGGACCCCCGGGCCCAGACGGTGGTCCTGGATGCCCCAGTAGAAGCTGGAAGGTTGTCCTGGTTCCCACCACCGAACTAGGGAAACGGAAGTTCACAGGCTTAGAGATCTAACAGGCTTTATCCAACACTCCATGAGTGGGCAACATCCCATCTAGATTCTGACTCTCGTATTCGAAATTTAGTAACAAAAGTCCTTGTACTTCGTACTTTATGTTAGCAATTCTTGGCCCCACTGTTTTTCCATATCTCACTTAGAATTAGCTTATTGATGACCTAAATAAATTCTCTGTTATCATCTGATTTAGATTGTATTGATCCTAGAAGTCAATTTATTATTTTTCAATGTTATCTCCAATTTTTAGGCAACCTTCTTTCATTTTAATCTTCTTAAATTTTTCTCAAATGTTTCATAGTTTTATACCTACAGAAAGCGCTACATATCTTCTTTACATCTATCATAGGCATTTGATTTTTATGCGGTTGTGAATAGTAATATTTTCACTTCAGTTTCTTGCTGATATAAAAATAAAACTGATTTCTGTATTTGCACCTTGCTAAATTCTATTACTATTTCCACGAGGTTATCCATAGATCTTTGGAAATTTCTTCATAGACAATCTTGTCAACTGTGAACAATCGCCCCTTTATGTCCATCCTTTCTGATTCAAATATTTTCTTATTAATCTTTCTTGACTTTTGTACCGGTTAAAAAGTCTTTCAATACAAAGTTGAGTAGAAGTGTGATAGCAGTCATCCAAGTTTTGTTCTCTACCTCAGTAGAAAACTTTTAATATTTTACTGCTGAGTTTCATGTTTGCTATAGGCCTTTGTCATAGATACCTTTATCAGATTAAGGAAATTTCTTTCTATTTCTAGTTGGCTAGGCTTTTTTTTTTTTATCATAAAGAAATAGTGGATTTTATGAGATGATTTAGCTACCAAACACTTTTACTTAGAAAAAGAAGTACAGGTGGGAAGTAATATAAGAAGAGATGCTCCTTATCATTAATCATAGGCATGTTCAGGGCCCCCTCGTAGCACATGAAGCTATCGCCAGCCACTGTGGCAAGAGTCTGATCCCTGGCCAGGGAGGTGACCCACATGGCGCAGCAGACCTCCCCTGTCTCACCAGCTGCTCCCCTCAGCAGTGTGTTTAGTAGATCTGCCCGTTCTGTTCCCCACGCTGTCTCTGGCGACTCCTCTCTCCCCCACACCTCTGGCCTACACCCCAGTTTTTAAACGTACCTCTGGCCTTCACCCCAGTTCTTACACTCATAAACAAATACAAATAAACCTTTTAAAAAATTATTAGGGCTGTGCAAATTAAAACCACGGAATGGCTGAAATTTTAAAAAGAATGCTTATTGTTGATGGGGTTGTGAAGCAAGGGGGCTTTTATACACTCATAATGGAGATGTGCAAAACAACAACAGCTGTGGGGGATGTAACATATTACAAAGCTAAGCAGGTGACACCCATTCCAGGTCTAGATATTTGCCAAAGAGAAGTAAATATTGTGCATTCAAAATCTCTCTAATACCCACAAACTGGTAACAATTCAAATTTCCATCAGCAATATATAAACCATTGTCAGTTTCTATATTATGGAGTACTACCTCCTTGGCAAGAAAGAACAAAGAAGTATTAAATCTTGAACAACATGGCTGAAACTCAAAATAATAAAGAAGCCAGGCCAAAAAATATAGTATCTAGGGCTCTCCCTGGTGGTGCAACAGGTTAAAGCACCACATTATGAAGCTCTCCAAAGCCACAGCAGTACAAGTTCAATCCCCGGCCAGGGAGGTGACACACATGGCGTGGCAGACCTCTCCTGACCCGCCTGCTACTCCCCTCGGCAGTGTATTTCAGTAGATCTGCCTGTTCCATTCCTCACTCTGTCTCTGGTGAATCCTCTCACCCACCATACCTTTGGCCTGTACCCCAGTTCTGTAAGCATAAATAAATCTTAAAAAAAAAAAAGAGTACATAAATGCTATCATTTTTATCTGTTCAGAGGATCACATGATTTTTCTTTTTCAGTTTGTCAATACGGTGAGTTCCATAGATTTTCAAATTCTAACCTATCTTTGCTTTACCAGGATAATTATATATTATTATCTCTTTAATATATTATTGGATTCCATTTACAAATCTGTAAAAAGAAGTTCTGCATGTATGTTGGTGAGAGCTATAATCTGTACTGGTATGATTACAAGAACCCTGATCAGCTCTGATGTGTTGTAATATTGTCTGGTTGTAGTATTATTGGTTTCAGGAGGATTTAGGAGTATCTTTTAATTTTCTAGGGTAAGTTGTATGGAACTGAGAGCTGGAGGAGTCTGTAAATCAGACAGGTCAAGTTAGATAATAATATTGTTCAAATGTTGCTTACTTCACCAGTCTTCTACCTACTTGCTTAAGTTATCGAGGGAGGGCTTTTGCAATCTGACCACAGTTGTGGAACTTTTTATTTCTTCTTACAGTTTTTCCTTTCTGTATTTTGAGTTTCTTGTTATTAGCTCTCTTGGCCTCTAGGAGTATTTTTTTCCCTTGAGGAATTGACCTCTTGGTCTTTATGCAACGACTTTAATGAAGATTATATTTTTGTTCATAAATCTGCCTTTTCTGATATTAATTGCTAGTGCTTAAATGTTTTTACATTCTATCATCTGTATAATCCCTGAGTTGGTTTTTAATATTTATTTTCTCCACATTATGAATTATATGTTTCCCCCTCATTGTGTGCCTATTAATTATTTTATTGAATGCCAGACGCTTCTACCTGTTGTGTGCTGTAACCCTTTGGCAGTCCTGTAAATTTTGTGCTTTGTTCTGAGAGGCAGTTAAGTTACAACTTGGTCTCTTCAAGTCTTGCTTTTAAGCTTTGTTACCTGGACCAGAGCAACACTTAGTCTAGAGCAACATTCGGCCCTATTTCTGAGGCAAAACCATTCTGCGCTCTCTGTGTTCTCATTCACAGGGATGGAGCTATTTCCTGCCCAGGGAAAGATCCAGGAATTGTCCTAATTTTTCCAGCTGATTTTGCCCCAGTCTTGGGAGTCGTCTTAACACACGTGTTGATCAAAACTCAGGAACCTACTCTTGGGGAGCCCATTTTGGGTCTCCAGAGTGCTCTGTGCAGAATTGCCCTCTTCTCTCAGTCTCTGCTCTGTGAATTCTAGCCACCTGGCCTCTCTGGACAACCAGATCCATTTCCTCCACTCACGAAGACCTCAGGTCCTCCGCTGGATTACCCCTTCCTATGCTGAGGCCTGGAAATTTCTCTGGTAGGATGTGGGGGGCCATTTTATTGCTGATCTCATTTGCTTCCTGCCACCAGGGATCCCTGTCCTTTGCTGTTGCCTGCCTGATGTCTTGAAAATAATTGTTTCATATAATTTGTCCATTTTAAACTTTTATTTTCTTCAGCTAGAAGAGCAAACCCAATTCCATTTTGGTGGGAGATGAGTTCATTTTTCAGAGTATTCTTTTAAAATCCTAATTTTGGGGTAGTCCTCACCAAGAGGTTGCTCGGATGCCTGCCATGCCCTATCCAGAGTCAGTCTCCTCTTCAGCCAAGCAAACATCCTTAGCTTTTTACCTGTTTTAAAAATATACCCCCTGCCTTTCTTTACCATTTCTGCTGCAAACTCCGTTATTGTATCAGATTTAGGCATTTAGAAACAAAACTAGGAAACCTTGATATGTTTTTCTGATGTGCTTTAAGCTCCCTTAATGCATTTTTTAAAAAGAGCCAACCATCTGATTAAATGGGGGTGAGTGTGGGGGTGGGGGGTGGGGGAGGAAATAATCAATATCCCATATACGGTTATCTCCAACTGTTTTTTTTAAGATGTATTTATTTATGCATACAGAACTGGGGTACAGGCCAGAGGTGTAGGGGTGGTGAGAGGATTCACCAGAGACAGAGTGGGGAGCAGAACAGGCAGATCTATGAAGTACACTGCTGGGGGGAGCAGCAAGTGGGTCAGGAGAGGTTTGCTGTGCCATGTTGGTCACCTCCAGGGCTGGGGATGGAGCTTGCACTGAAGTGGCTGCAGCCAGATTGCAGTGCTGCGTCCTAACCCATTGTGCCACCAGGGAAGGCCTTTTTTAAAAAGATTTATTTATGCATACAAGAACTAGGATACAGGCCAGAGGTGTGGGGGTGAAAGGATTCACCAGAGAGAGATTGGGGAGAACAGACAGATCTGCTGATATACACTGCTGAGGGGAGCAGCAGGCGGGTCAGGAGAGGTCTGCTGCGCCATGTGGGTCAGCTCCCTGGCCAGAGGTCGAACTCATGCTTCATAGTGATGTGCTTCAACCCCTTGCACCACCAAAATAACATTTCACTTCTTTTACTTGTTTCATACTCAGTCCAGGAAAATTAGGCTAGATTGCTCCCTCCCTTATTTCATTATTGTTATTGAGTTAGGATGGACTTCCCATCCTCAAATGTGGCTTGGCTGTTGAGACTGATGATGCCACCCACACATCAAGAGAAATGTAAGAGCTTATTACTCACAGAATGAGTTTTTCTGGGGAGAGCAGGGCAGGCTTTCTAACCTGGGGAAGGAGATTGACCTGAGGTTTTATTGTGATTAGGAGCTGGGGCTGGAGCGAGGGCAGAGGGTTGCACAGTTTGCCTTGCTGGCTGGTACCATCTGACCTCACCAGCTGGCTGGGAACATCTGACCTCACCAGCTGCCCAGATGTGGCGCAGAAGGGGAGAGGAAAGGACAAGGCTTCAAAGCTGTTAGCAGGCAAGCATTAACAGTGGAGTAGATTCTGGAGCGGAATGTGTAATCTCCCAAGTGTGGATGGCCACTGCTGTGGAATCCTAACAATTGTACATATTCGCCCATGGAGCGGGGTGGGGTGGGGTGAGAGGTCAGTTATGCATTACAGCTCAGACATATACAATTTTAACTTGATTTTCTATAAATGATCCCCTTCCGCTCTGTAGTCCCATGTCTGCTCAAAACCAAAGCCTGGACTTTGGTTTGCACAAAAGTGAGAAAAGTAAGAGCAAGCTGGGCCTCCCTCCCTCTCTGGAGCGTCCTGGCGCTCCGCCCTGTGAGCATCCCACCGACCTCCTTTTCCAAGCTGCTCCTGAATGATTTTTATGTCCCCTCCCTGCGTGGTTAGGACACCTTCCCTTTCCTCTTCCCGGGACAGTACTTTCATAAATGTGACCATCTCCCTGATTTAAGACCTGTAAAGGGAGGGGGAAAAAAATCACCAAACCTTCAAGAGGGAGAATACGTGTTTAAACCAGATTCTGGTTTTCAAAAATAAAGCAATTGTAATAGAGTAAAAACAAAAATCAACGAACAACTATAAACCAGAGACATTCTATGGGGTTGGAGAGGGGAGTGGGATCAAAACTGGGGTGAGAAAAGTGCACAGGACTGGTGATGGCATGTGGGTGAAGTGGTGGTGGGAAGTCCGCTGGGATACAACAGAGATGGAAAAATGCACAAAAGGAAGAATGATTAAAAAAAAGTACATTATTATAATGTATTTAATATAATAATATAATAAATACATTTTTAAAATCAGGTTTTCATTTTATCTCCTGGGTTAAAAAGCAAGTTTCTCTTCTATGCCACTTAAACTAAAATTTTAAAATACAGCTGTGTTTTCGGCATTTGTCAGTTCTTCAAGCTAACTTACATTTTTTGGTTTAGGTTTTACTGCAGCCTATCCAACACAGTCCTCCATTCCTTTTAAATACAAGAAACCGGAGATTCCAGAATCGGAAAAAAAAGGATTTAGTTGTCAAGCCAAGAGATTTTACTCTAAAAAGGTAAAGACTTAGGGATGATGGGTCTGCACTGTCTGCCTGTGTAGTTAACCATGACACCAGTAGAGGGCAGTGTCACCCCAGGAGCCGGAGCGCATCCAGCTGTGGCTCTGGGTTGCAGGAGGGAGCTGGAGAGATGGGGTAAACCAGCAGCCCTGAACCGAGCACACTGAATCTAGACATTTTAAAGGAACGATGTATACTTTAAAAGTTATTATGAAAACAGAACATTCAGAAATCTCAGGTGTGTCTTGTAAAAGGTAAAACCCTTTCCTCTCCTGCCCCCAACCTCACTGATAATACAAACAAATGCCATGGAAAAAAAATTTAAAGTATAATAAATTAAAATTACTTTGTGGACCCTCCCTGGTGGCGCAGCGGGTTAAAGCACAGCACTGAGAAGCTAAAGCCACTTTCACATGAGTTCGATCCCCGCCTGCCCGGAGGAGATCCACATGGCGCGGCAGACCTCTTCTGACCTGCCCGCTGCTCCCCTCAGCAGTGTACTTCGTCGATCTGCCTGTTCCGCTCCCCACTCTGTCTCTGGTGAATCCTCTCACCACCCCTGCACCTCTGGCCTGTACCCCAGCTCTGTATGCATAAATAAATAAATCTAAAAAAAAAATTACTTTGTATGAGTTCCCCTCCATAAGCCTCCTTTACCAGTGTGTTATTACTGTGCCAGTATCCCCGGCCTCACACACTGCTCCAAATATCCCTGTGTCTCTTTCCCCCTCTGGTCTGCAAAGTTCTGCCAGTGACTCTGACCTGGGGTGTCACCAGCCAAAGGTCCAGGGATGGGGCCTCCCCCCTTCGCATCAGCAGGGGCTGAAGCAGCTGCGTGTGTCCAAGAGGGCTTTAAAACCTTCATTCCCTTATTCATTTTACCAAGAACTTTAGAACAACATTGTTTTGGGGGCATTATTATCTCGGCCTCCTTTGCTGCACTCAAAAATACTTTCCATCCCACCTCATTGGCCAGGTGGTGGGGAGACGGGAGGACCCCCAGGTGAGTGGTGAGCTGTGCAGGTGAGTTGTGAAGGATGAGTGTTCCAGGCAAGGGCTGGGACCCTCCTGCTGTTTCCTTCTTGGTGAACAACAAAACTGACCATTGGTTCCTTCCACCTCTGATATTTTAGTTTTCTAAGAAAACAAATCGGAAGACAGTGGGCGGGCAAACCACTCACACAAACTTGTTCTTTAATTACGCGTAGCTTTTCCCCAACGCTGACAAATAAGCTCTTGGCTCCGGCGTTTTCTCTCTTCTCTCGCAAGTTTTAATTATCTCTTTCCTGTCTGATCTCCCACTTGTCAATTTAATGATACCATATTGCCCATTTCTAGGGTATTGGCAGCACAGACGCCGATAATATGAACAGCAGCCACCTCTGACCGATCCCTACGGTGTGTGAAATCACTCTTAGCCCCCATCTCTAATCCTCAGAACAATGCTAAAGGGCAGGGCTCATTATCTTAATTTCATAGAAGAGGAAACCAAGGCTTAGGGAAGTGAAATGACCCACCCACGGTCACACAGCCCAGGGTTTGGGCTTAAGAGGCCGGCCACAAATATCTGCTGACTCAGCGTTGCAAGCATTAGACCCAGAGGGAGCTCACGCCAAAGCCCGTGCCCTTTCCCTCCACTGCGCCACACCTCACTTTGTGGCCCTCAGAGCCGCACATGTCATCTGTGAAAGTCGGGGAGTGGGTTCCTGTAAGGGCCTGGGCCACGGGGACAGAGCCAGTGTGGGGAAGGTCGGCTCACCGGAAGGCTCTATTCTGCCTGCTCCAGTTCCGGAAACCGAACGGGCTGGCTTCTAAAGTTAGCACTGTCAACTCCTGCTTTTCGGAATTTATTACTGCTGAAAGCACCAAGTGGCAGGCAGCCAGCGCCATCGGTAGCCTCCAGCCCAGAGACAAGTAGCTCAGAAATTGACTCATGCTTCTCAAACGGGGTGGCATCGATCTGGCCACATGAAAACGTCCACCCAAGTAGTGAGAGCACTGTAAATAAGCATGGATTCTGCAGACGGGGCCCAGGACAGGGAAAGCATTCTGGGTGCCCTGCTCTGTTCGCCCCTTTTCAGGGCTTCAGTTCCCGCAGATAAAACTTAAGATTTGGATTATGTCATTTTCAAGGTTTCCTCCAGCTATAAAAAAGGAAAAAATAAATTGCTATTCCATGCTTCTTAGTCTCTTTTTTTTCTTGAGGGAAGTGGGCATTGACAAGTTAAGGATCTTCCTTAGCATCACCCAATAATTTAGTGAGGCAATACAAATTAAAAACATTTAAAAACTCCAGCCTAACCTCCCTTCTTAAAACACAAGTCGTCCACACCCTGACCTGATCGCATAACCTGGTTGTGTCTTCACCTTAATTCTGTGACCCACTTAACACGTCTTACCAGAGAATCGCTGCCTCACCTCGTGGGGGGCTCAGGGCCCAGCTCATGTCCCCCTAGGACTGTCAGGCACAAGGGGCCCTCATAGACCTCACCGTCTGGACTGCAGTTCTGGCTACCAGAGGTGAACGTTTTATAATTATTTACAGACGTGAAGAGACACGCCTGGCCCGGGACAGAGCACAGCCCAGTAGCCGATGAGTACTCTCTCCCCCACCTTCCGTTTCTGTCCCCATTTCACCCCATTGTGGTCACTGTTCCCCAAGCTACGTGACACCACGGACACTCACTCAATGTCTTTGGGTCGCTGTTTCCTCCGCTTAAAAATAAGGGGAGGTTTCCATGGCGCTGGCACGCGGGTGATTTGGTAGTGGGAGGTCCACGGGGATTACAACTGAGATGGGAAAAGGCACAAAATGATGTAAAAATAAACTATTATCATAAAATAATTTTTAAAAGCTAAAAAAAAAAAACAAAAAACCACTGGTGGTTTAACAGGTAGGCCCTCGCCAGGGCCCTGTTCTGTGCTCCTGGATGGACCCGGCTGGCCCCAGCTGGCCAGCCTGCAACAAGCCAGCAGCACTGAACACTGCACATCCAAGTCCATGTCACACCCGGCCTGACAGTCCATCTGCCTCCCCCTGGACGCAGGCTGGTGTTAGTTTGTGAGGAAACTGCACAAAGCCAACACCATCCACTTAGTATAAGGCATTGATTGTACTGCGAATATTTTATATGTCGGGGTATTAAAATGAAAGAAAGTTCCGTTTGCAGAAACCGGGGCGTTCAGGGGTAATTACCCCAGTGTGTGCCCAGCTGCGTACCCACACCTGCTGTGGGGGCTCTGGAAGGCTTTGGGGTCCGCCGACAGCTCCCCTTCTCCGGTTCTGCAGGATGTGTCCCTGGCCCTGGCGGCATGCTGGGCCCCTTGAAGGGCTTTGCCTGTATTAACTCACTTAATCCCCATAATAACCCTGCAAGCTAAGTCCCGTCATTATCCAGATAATGACCTGTGACACGGAGAAGCCAGGGAACTTGTGCAGTCAGGTTGTGGGGACAAACGCGGGCGGGCAGCTCCTGGCCTCTGGCTCCCAGGGCCTTCCCGGGGGGGAAGCGAGTACCCCCTCCTTTGAGCACCACAGCCACCTCGCACCCCTGATCGCTTTCTGCGCGGCACGGTAGGCCGGGGCTGCCTGTCTCATCTCCACCGGCCCCGGGCTCTGGGCGGCCGTCACTGCTGACCATTCTGAACCCCAAGCTCCTAAAAAAGTGGACTGAAAGATACCCCAACGCAAGCCCTCTTGGGAGCCCATCTGACCCGTCCTGCTGCACGGTGCTGGGCTGCTGGGTCTGTCTCCCGCACGCTGAGCTGTGACCAGCTGGGCCTGGCCCCAGAGCGCTACAATCTGTGCTTGTCAATCTGTGCTTGTGAAATAGAATTTCCGCTCCTAGCCTGCGCAGGAGACCTCAGGGCTACTGATGAGAGCCCAGATGTAAGAGAGGCGAGCTCTGCAGAAGAGGCGCGTGGCGGTGGTCTCTGGGGGCAGATGCAGCTGACTTCTCCATGTGCCCGTTTCCAGGCCAGCAGCCAGCCAGCAACACACAGACCTCATCCCCGACCCGCCTGCTCAGGTGGCTGCTTTCTCAGTGGCCTTTGCTGTGCCCACACCTGCTCTCCACCTGGGAAACCACGAAGCAACCTCTGCAGCAGCGTCGCTCTGGCTTTCCTGGGTGCGCCTCACGGCTCCCAGGGACCTTGGTTTCTGTCACCAGCCTCCATCCTGAGGAGGAGCCATGTTTTCTTGCTTGAAATACGCTCACTCCCTCTCCCTTGTCAACTGTGGGGGGTCATTGATGCCAGACTCAAGTAGATAAAGTGGGGGGAGAGGAGGTGGAGGACAGAGAGGCCATGAGGAAGGGCAGCTTCGTAAGGAGCAAAGCTCGCAATCGGCACCGTCAGACAGAAGCGCCTCGGCGGTGTCCAGGCGCCTGGCCCTGGTGGATGGCCCTTCCGCTGTAACACCTGCCCCGAGTTAGTCAGGGAAGCGGGGAGCACAGCTTGAAAACCACAGGTCCACCTTGCCTCTTTGTAGGCTCGCAGAGGCAGGGGTGAGGCCTCTAAGCAACCAAGCGCAGATATTTGATATAAGTATATCCCAAATATTGCGTGGGATATACCTATAACTCAAATAGTTGTAATTTCTGTGAAATTCAAATTTAATGGGACTGGGCAAGATTTGCAGGACTACCTGGCAACCTGTGTGTGTCTTTACACATATCAGCGTCCAGAACATTCTTGTGAATTGATGGTAGTGTTGAGAGTGTGGTGACAGGCGAGGGCTGCAGATACATGCCCTGGAAGAATCACTCCTAGGTTTCCTGCCTCAGCTTTCCCTTCATTTAGGCAGTCTGGGGGCTTCAGGGCTCTTCCACTACTTAGTACAAATCTTGCATTTAAAAATGAGGTCCAGGCTCTCCCTGGTGGCGCAGCAGGTTAAAGCACAGCACTGAGAATCTAAAGCCGCTTCCGCATGAGTTCGATTCCCGCCCGCCCCGGAGGTGACCACATGGCGCGGCAGACCTCTCCTGACCCGCCCGCTGCTCCCCTCAGCAGTGTACTTCGTCGATCTGCCTGTTCTGTCCCCCACTCTGTCTCTGGTGAAGCCTCTCACCGCCCCTGAGCCTCTGGCCTGTACCCCAGTTCTGTTTTCCAAAAATAATAAATTTTTAAAAAAAAAATGAGGTCCAGAGAGGCAACTCATGCAAGGCCACTCAGCTGGTAGCAACCCAGGCGAGAATCCCCGACTCAGACCTCGGGGGTCTGTTTTATCTCACACGGTCTCTTTATCTCGGGGTGGGGGGGGGTTCGGTGTGGGGTCTGTTTTATCTCACACAGTCTCTTTTAAGAGATAGTTTGGGTTAGTGGTTAAGAGATGACTTCTGGGTTGAAGTTCTGGCTCTCACACTTACCGGCTAGGTGACCTTATCTCTTAGGGCCTATCTGCTGTCTTCAAAACGGGAATTGCAGGGCCTCCCTATAGAGGGGTACAGGGGTTAAGTCTCAGGGCTCTCAAGCTGTCCCCAGCCACTGCAGCGCATGTTCGATCCCCAGCCAGGGAGGTGACCCACGGGGCGCAGCAGACATCTCCTGTCTCGCCCACAGCAGTGTACTTCAGCAGATTTGCCTGTTCTGTCTCCCACTCTGTTTCTGGTGAATTCATTCACCCCACATACCTTTAGCCTGTACCCCAGTTCCTGTGTGCATAAATAAATAAATCTTAAAAAATAAATAAAATGAGATTACAGGGCTTAGGGCATGTCAGGAACGCAGATGCTGCTCCCAGTGACCTCTCGGTAAATACACCATGGCCTGGCCAACAGCCCCTAGAAACGCCTCTTTCTTGTTTCCCAGAGGCTCTTGAACCTGCACCCACAGCTGGGGTTTTCTCGAACTAGGTGCTGGGGCACCTAGTTCTGCTACGCCCTGCCTCACACCGCTGCTCACATCCCCTCGGTCCACCAGGTTGATCATCACCCACATGGGGACCAGTGCCCCTGCCCCCACCTGCTGAAGAGCAAGGCTCCAGGGAGTCACTGCTTTTAAATCTCTGCTCAGAAGAGCCTGTGTATAGCCTTGACGATCCCATCCCTTATAGTAACCGTAATCACACACTGCTTGGGCCAGACTGCGACATCCTCGAATGTCCTGATATGCTTTAAGCTTTCTTTCTGCCCCAAGGGAGAGAGAAGGATGTTGAGGACAGCACCAGACTGAGTGATAGAGGATGCTCAAGCGAGCTCAGCCTGGGGGTTAAATCTGGCCTGACCTTTCACCAGCTGTGGCCCCAGCGTCTCTGGGTCTCTCCCTAAAAATGTTCGCGGATACCATACATGAGCTCTGGACCAAGGGGCGAGCTCTTCCAGGAGGGGGCCCTTGGGCAGAATGATCTCCACACGCTTCAGTGTCTCTCTTTCTCTCTCTGAGAGAATTCGCTGAAACTATCTCTGAAAAGGTGCTGGCACCAGCAGGCTCCCAGCAAGCTCCCGAGACAGCGGAGCATCCTTGGCATTTCATGCCACTTGCTCGGCCAACCTCTGTCAACATTGACTCCCCCAGTAACTAGCCTGGGAAATGAGATGAGAGTGCCATGAACTGCCACAGCAGGAACGGGCTTAGAACTCGGGTTTCTGTCGATGCCTCGCTCAGAGACCTGCGCACTGAGCACCTGAGCCCCAGGAAGTGGCCTCGCTCTGTTGAGAGTAAGAAATAGTCTTGTTTGGAATGAAGGCTGTTTTTGTTTCATTTTGCTCTATAAACAGAAACCCTCCCTGATTTCTCTTCTGAAAGGCTGAGGAGGAAGCTGAGTCAGGTGGGGTGTGGCTAACGTGAAATCAGTCCCCTTCCCTCACCGAGGGCTCGGGTTAACCCATCCATGTGCACAGGCTGCCACATCAGCCACAGTCAGTGCCCATCTTATGCTCACTTCTCTACAGGCATAGAAACACAACAACGCACAACATTCCTCTGGAACGCAGTGGGGCAGAATGGGAAGAGCAAGGACTGGGGGGCCCAGACCCAGGTTGGAATTCCAGCCCCTGCACTTGATCACTGCGATGGTAACTGGGTAGGCTGGAGGTGGTACAGGCAGGCTGGAGGTG